AAAAAAAAAAAAAAAAAAAAAAAAAAACAAAAAAACCCCACAAAAACGAAAACAAAACAAACAAAAAAAAACTCCACTTAGGAGGCTTTCTCCTATGTCTTCTGCAAGCTCATCATGTCTCGCTCATCCTAAGTCTTCTCCTAAGTCTTCTGCAAGCTCATCGTGCTTGCTAGTAAGGCAGTCTTTTTTTTTTTTTTTTTTGGTTTTATTTCTAATCCTCAGCTCTGACCATTTATGGTCTGCCCACAAGCCGCTCTCAGTCCACCAAAGCTGGAGGATTTCCAAGGGAACACTGCATGCATTTCAAAGACTTTTCAACTTCATTCAAATGTTAAGMCATGGAGAAAGCAACACAATAGACTCCTCAGTCAGTTACCCACAAAGAACAGCACCTCTTTCGGAAGTAAAGTTCCCTATTTTCAGCTTTCCCTCGTTACTAGAAGGTTGTTTTAATAAATAACTTCCCTACCTTGCATTGGGTGCTACCTAGCACCATTTTACCACCTAGTTGTGGACCCAAGACACAGGCAACGTGCTAGTGCCAGACCTCCTGCATCCCAAAGTCTATCAAACTGTGGAAGATTCAAACACACTCAAGTTGGCCCCTCGCCTTCCCCTCTTTGCTAGATGTAGAATATATAAGGAAAATGCATTTGATGGGCAAAGCATGTGACATTGCATACTTGCCAACACTCGCACACTAATTAACGCAGGTCGCACACTGATATTTTCCCCACTAAATCCCACTCTTCTTGGTTAAATGGAGGATTGCACCTGCTTGCAGGATTTATTTCTAAATCCTGCATATCAACAGCAAAAAGAAACATTGCCTTTCATATCCCTTAGAGTTTTGTCTCTCATTTAGATCAATGGGGACATCAGAGCAAGAGACACTTTTATGTCCCACTAAATCACGGCTGTCTGAGTAAAACTCCCAGGAATCGGATGAGGTTAGAGAAGCCCGAGTTTGCAATCAGGCGAACGCAGCAGAAAGCGTGTAAAATAACATAAATTTATGAGGTGGGGAGGGAGGAGGGGATATCTTCTACAGCTCCTTCTTTGTGGTTGCTGCTTTACATAAGAAATCGTTCAGAAACAAATCAACGACAAGCCGGGGAGGTGGGGAAGGGGAAGTATGGCTGAGTTTATGGTGAACAGCTTSGCATCCATCAGGCCATATTAATCAAGTCAACAAATTTCAGGACAAAACAAAAAATACAAGTTTTGCTACTGTACGTGTTTGCCTGCTGTATGAGCCTTTCAATCCTCTGATCATTTGTTTTATGCTCACCACACAGCTGTAAATCTAGTCTTCTGCACAACAGCTGAGATTAGGATGCTTATTGACTGTCTCTGTAACGGAAAAAGGATATCGTATCATTTACTGCTTCGTGATCCCGCGGCAGAAAAATAACCCASAATCAC